CTGTTGTTGGATTGGTATATGTTTCCGATTGTTATATCCTCTTGATGAATTGACCTCTTTATCATTCTATAATGACCTTTTTTGTCACTTGTTACTGTTCTTGGCTTAAAGTTTATTTTGTTTCATATAAGCATAACCAACCTCTCTTTCTTTTGGTTTTTACTTGTTTGGGATATCTTTTGTCATCTCTTTGCTTTCAGCCTGTGTGTGTCCTTAAATCTGAAGTTACCTTTAGGCCAACTATTTTTGGGGGGGGTCCTTTAAAAAAAAATCCATTCAGCTATTATTTGCCTTTTTCTTGGTGAATTCAATCCACTTACATTTAGAGTTATTTGTTGACATATAGGGACTTAATAATGCCATCTTATTAATTGCTTTCTGATTGTTTTGTATTTTCATAGTTTGTTTTTCCCTCTGTTTATGCCTTTTATAAAGTGGTGCTTTTCTGTAGTGGTATGCTCTGTTTTTCCTTTCTTTCTCTTGTGAATCTGTTCTGTTTTTGCATTGTGTTTACCATGGGATTTATATAAAATATCTCATAGATAAAGCTGTCACTTTTAACCCTATAACAACTTAACTTCAGTAGCATACAAAGCTCTATCTACCCTTTTACTGATGTGGGACTTGATCCCAGGGCCCTGGGATCATGACCTGAGCTGAAGGCAGATGCCCAACTGACTGAGCCACCCAGGCGTCCCTACAATTACAGTTTTCTAGATCTGGCTGTATGTTTCTCTTTACTGTTCTGTAGAATACTTTCATATGTTCTCATGTCACCAATTAGTTTCTTCATTCATTCAGTTTGAAGCACTCTTTTCAGCATTTTTGCAAGGCAGACTAGTGGTAATGCACTTTCTCAGCTTTTGTTTGTCTGAGACAATCTTCATTTCTCCTTCATATTTGAAGCTAACTTTGCCAGACACAGTATTCTTGGTCGACACTTTCTTTTAACACTTTGAATATGTCATTTTACTTTTCCTGGCACAGAGTTATGCTGAGAAACTTGCTGATAGCCAAATGGGTGTTCCTTTCAGATTACAGTCTTTTTTCTGGCTGCTTTTAGGATTCTCTGTGTTTGTTTTTGACAATGTTATTATATTTTGTCTTGGAGAAGGTCTTTCTGCATTGAGATAATTGGGTAATCTGTTAGCTTTCTGAACTTGGTCATCCAGTTGTATCCCCAGGTTTGGAAAGTTGACAGCTTTTATCTTTTTATTTTTAAATATTTATTTAATTTTTTGGGAAGATTTTATTTATTTATTTGACAGACAGAGATCACAAGTAGGCAGAGAGGCAGAGAGACAGAGGAGGAAGCAGGCTCCCTGCTGAGCAGAGAGCCCGATGTGGGGCTCGATCCCAGGTCCCTGGGATCATGACCCGAGCGAAGGCAGAGGCTTTAACCCACTCAACCACCCAGGCGCCCCCCTGTCTTGTCTTTTTAAATAAACTTTCTGGCTCTCTGCTCTTTCTCAAATCCTGATTATTCTAATATTTGTACATTTAATGTTATCCTGTAGATCATATAGGCATTCTGTGTTCTTTTTCATTCTCTTTTTCTTGTTCATTTCTGATCAGGTTATTTCATAGTTTTTGTTTTCCAGCTCACTTATTATGTCTTCCATTTGATCTCCTCTACATAGAGATGCACTTTGGCATATGGCATTTTTCATTGCATTCATTGCATTTCTGTTTGCCTCTTTTTTATGATTTCTCTCTCTTTGTAGATTTCTCATTTTGCTGATGTACTTGGTTGAATTGTTGAGTTTCCTTAACCAGCTATTTTGAATTCTTTATCATGTAGCTTGTTAAATTCTGTGCCTTTGAGTTAGGTTATTGGAAGATTATTGTTATCTTTAGGTGATGATGTGTTTCCTGGATTTTTCATGTTCTTTTAGGTTTGCATTGCTCTTTTTGCCTAAGGTAGCAGATACTTCCTCAAATTTTTGCTAGTTACCTTCAAATGGGGTAGACTGCTGGTCCTGTAGTATCCGGGGTTTTCTTCTCCTTATGTGGCTATGTCTTCACCACATTTTTGCTTCTTCATGTGACAGACACAATTCTTAAGCTCTTATCTCTTTTCTGAGTCTTATAAACCACCAGGCTAGCTGTTGTTAACTTCTTTTGTTTTCTTGAAAGTGGCACTATAACTCAAGTTTCTGGTTTCTTCTTTGCTGATAGATATTAGTCCGTTTTTCTGATAGCACTCATTTATCAGACTTAACACTTGCCACCTTACCTGGGACGTGTATGCCAGGAGCTGTTGCAGAGTCAGAGGAGGTGTGAGTTTAGTACTCAGGGTGTTGGGCTGCTCATGGGCTCAGTGGGGAGATTGTCAGGTGAGGTTCTCCCTTAGGCTTATGGACCAGCTTCCTGATAAAGTTTTGAGCACAGTCAGCAGGAACTGCATCCCTTCAATGCCCTTTGATATTCTCATTTGCCTTTTTCCTGATCTTCTCCCACCAGTTATGGAGGTCCAGTCTCAGTACTCTGGGTGCTGCCAGAGAGAAATGGGTTTCCCCACTGGCATCTCACTCAACAGGGATGGCTGGGCATTAACTCCCACTCTCCTTTTCCTGCTTGGGAGAGGGTGCTGTGAGAGTTCATCCGACTGTGTTGTGTTGGGGAGGAACAGCACCAGCAGAGTTTCTGATTACCACTCCACTGCACCACCAGGGCCATGCTGGAATCTCCTGCGCTAGGGAAGCTGGATTTCCACCCATTCTTTTTCATTCATTGGGATCTGCAGATTTTCCCTGACTGTGGCCATAAGGGGTTGGGGCAGGTTCACTGACTCTTCTGCAGCCGATGCTGAGTCTGTCTGCCTATTACCAGATGCACATGTGGGCGAGATGCCTCAGTCTCTTGGCATCTGGTGCTGTTTCCCACAACTCCCACAAAGGCCCTTTTGTTTGTAGACAGATGCCTGATGAGTTGTTGATAGGGGAACAGAAAACGAATGTCTTAGGCTGTTACATGCTGATGTTAATTCTGGTAAGACAAAATTTTCAATCATTTTTGTTCCCTCTATTGCTTTTTTTTTTTTTTTTTAAAGGATTTTATTTATTTGAGAGAGAGAGAGAGAGAGTGTGCGCATGACCAGGGTGGGGGCAGAGGGAGAAGCAGACTCCCTGCTAAGCAGGGAGCCCCATGCGGGGGATATTTCCTGGGATTCCAGGATCATGACCTGAGCCGAAGGCAGATGCTTAATCAACTGAGCCATGCAGGCACCCCAAAAGACTATTTTAAAAAAGATCTTTTATTTTTAAGTGATCTCTACACCTGACATGAGACTCAAACTCACAACCTTGATATCAAGAGTTGCATGCTCTATACCAGCTGAACCAACCAGATGCCCCAAAGAATTTTTTAGAAAAGTTTTATGTTTAAAGTGAAATTTTGGGGTGCCTGAGTGGCTCAGTGGGTTAAAGCCTCTGCCTTTGGCTCAGGTCATGATCCTAGGGTCCTGGGATTGAGCCCTGCATTGGGCTCTCTGATTGGTGGGGAGCCTGCTTCCCCCTTCTCTCTGCCTGCCTCTCTACCTACTTGTGATCTCTCTCTCTGTCAAATAAATAAATAAATAAATAATGTTTAAAAAAAAAAAAGGCAAGAAAATTTTTATTATTAAGTTTTTTAGTTTAATTCCAGTGTAGTTTAATTCCAGTGTAGTTAACATACAGTGTTATATTAGTTTCAGGTGTACAATATAGTGACTCAACAATTCTATACATAATTACTCAGCTCATCATCATAAATGTAATCTCTTATCCCTTTCAGGTGTTTCACCCAACACCTCCACCTCTCTTCTGATATGCTTTATTTTAAACAAGTACCTTCATTAAAGTTATTTTTTTTCAGCAAGAACTTAAAACATATTTCAGAAGACATGGTTGTAAAAGATGTATATAAAACATTTCATCCAAGAAAAATAGGATACACATTCTCTTCAAGTACACACAGAAGAATACCCTGGTTAAATCATAAAAAGAGACATAACAAATATTAAAATTTATGGAAACTGAAATCACACCAAGTATATTTTTCAACCACAGTGGTATAAAACTAAAGATCAACAATAAAATAAAGCTGAAAAATCTACACTATAAATATTAAATATTTAATATGTAAATATTAAGCACTATACTACTGCAATTGACCTAATAAGAAAGCAATTAGCAAAGCAAAATTTATCTCAAAACAAAAGGAAAAGACAATATTCCAAAACCTATGGGATGAAGCAAAAGCAGATGTTAGAGTGAAATTTATGCTGTAAGTGTTTGTATTAAGAAAAAAATTTGAGGGGCACCTGTGGCTCAGTCAGTTAAGTGTTTGACTCCGGCTTGGGTCATGATCCCAGTGTCCTGGGATTGAGCCCCATGTCAGGCTCCCTGCTCAGGGGGGCAGTCTGCTTCTCCCTCTGCCCCTCCCCCCAACTTGTGCACTGTATTTCTCAAATAAATGAATTTTTAAAAAATATTTTATTTATTTATTTGGCAAACAGAGATCACAAGTAGGCAGAGAGGCAGGCTCCCCGCTGAGCAGAGAGCCCAACAGAGGGCTTGATCCCAGGACCCTGAGATCATGACCTGAGCTGAAGGCAGAGGCTTAACCCACTGAGCCACCCAGGAGCCCCTCAAATAAATAAAATCTTAAACAAAAAAAAAGGGATGCCTGGGTGGCTCTGTCAGTTAAGTGTCTACCTTTGGCTCAGGTCATGATCCCAGTGTCCTGGGATCAAGCCCCATGTGGGGCTGTCTGCTCAGTGGGAGCCTGCTTTTCCCCCTCCGTCTGCCTGCTGCTCCCCCTGCTTGTGTGCTCTCTCTTTCTCTGTCAAATAAATAAATAAAATCTGTAAAAAAATAAAAATAAAGAGCATAAAAATTAAAAAAGTTGAAATAAACAACTTTACACCTCAAGGAACTAGAAAAAGAAGAGACTTACCTAATATTTAGTAGAGAAGGAAACAAAAAATAATTAGAAACAAATAAATAGAGACAAGAATAAATAATAACATAATATTGAAAATAATGATCTGTTTAAAAATATATATATTGGCAATGGTTTAATTACATTCAATTAGCAATAATCATGCCTCGGATAAACCTCATTGGCTACGATACTGCCACTGCGCAAAGCTATTGGTTTAATTACATTAAGAAGAAACAGAAGACTCAAAAACCAAAATGAGAAATGGAAGAGAAAACAATACAACAGATACCCACAGAAACACATCGTGTGGTAACAGATTACTATAAACAATTATATACTAAAATATCAGATAACTTAGGAGAAAACTCAGATAAATCCTAAAAACCCAGAAGTCACCAAGATTGAATCATGAATCTTGAATCCAAGAGATACAAAATCTTCTTAGGCCAATAATAAGAATGAAGATTGAATTAGGAATCAAAAATCTCCCAGCACAGAAAAGCCCAAGACCCCATGGTTTCATTGGTGAATTCTACCAAACATTAAAATACGTAATAAATGACAGTCTTTATCCAAATGTTACCAATAGGGGTCACTTGGGTGGCTCAGTCGTTAAGTGTCTGCCTTCAGCTCAGGTCATGGTCCCAGGATCCTGGCATTGAGCCCTGCATCGGGCTCCCTGCTCAGTGGGAAGCCTGCTTCTCCCTCTTCCAGTGCCCCTGCTTATGTTCCCTCACTCGCTGTGTCTCTCTCTGTCAAATAAATAAATGAAATCTTTTTTAAAAAAATGTTACCAATAATGGAATAGAGGGAACACATTCAAAATCATTTCATGAGGCCAATATTACCCTGGTACCAAGCAAAGAAAAACAATACAAGAACCAGGGTGTTTGGGTGGCTCAGTCGGTTTAGTGACTGACTCTTGATCTCAGCTCAGGTTTCGATCTCAGGATCCTGAGTTCAGGCCTCACAGTGGGCTCAGTGCTGGGCATGGAGCCTGCTTAAAAAACAAAAACAACAAACAATATGAGAACAAAAAAGTCTACTTTTTCCAATAAAGGATTGCTACTCGAACTGAATTTTCTGTTAATATCTATTTGCATCTACCTCCACCCCCTTATTCTCAATCTGCAGGTGTCTTTAGGTCTAAAATGAGTCTTTCGTAGGCTTAAAGCAAAATTGACAGGAAATGTTTTGTGCTGATCTCAGCCTCTTAATTACCACTGTTGTTGCTGGACTGGCTCTTGTGGCTCTTACTATGACTGCAAGCAGGAAACTTTGAAAAACAACAAGTTTTATTATTCATAGGTTCTGGAGGGTATACAGCACACCTGGGGCAACACAGTGAGGTCATGGGTAGAGAAAGAGATAGAGTGTGGACCTGGGGTTCTGCTGTTTTGGGGGGAATCTAAGGACAGGGGCCTGGGGTTTCACAGGTTCACTCTTTATTGGTGAATTTAAAACATAAAAGTGGAATTTAGAACACAGAAAATGGTCACTTATCTAAATCTACCAAGATCTCTAAAGCAAAGGAACCTGTTGGGGGAGGTGGTGACCTGGCTCTTTATTTAGTCTTATGGCTGGCATTGTGTTTTTCTGTGATAGGGGTCTTAGAAGTGGATACCTCTTTGAAGTGCATGCCTTGGCAATCAAAATTGAGGTCAAAATTCAGGCACTTGGATTACCAAAAAAAAAAAAAAAAAAAGCCCAACAAAAACAAAAGCAACTACCAGGGCTTACACTATAGTAGGAAGATTACAGAAATTTCCCATATGCTCTTGGCCCCTTTACATGTTAGCCTCTCCCATCATTATCATTATTCACCAGAATGGTACATTTTCTTTTTTAAAGATTTTATTTATCTATTTGACAGGGAGAGAAAGCAAGTGAGCACAACTAGGGGGAGCAGTGGGCACTGGTAGAGGGAGAAGCCGGCTCCCTGCTGAGCAAGACCACGGGATCATGACCTGAGCCCAAGGCAGGTGCTTAACGACTGAGCCAACCAGGCGCCCTTGGAATGGTACATTTTTTTAACCAAGGAAAAACCTACCTTGACCTACCATGATCATCCAAGGGCCATAGTGCACCACCCTAGGGTTCTCTGTTGGTATTGTATAGTCTATAGGTTTAGACAAATGTATAATGACATCTGTCATTACAGTAATGACAGATGTCATTATACATGTAGTAATTGATTATAATTATAGAATTATACATATAGTAATTCATTATAGTAATCATACAGAGTATTTTTTCTCCTTAAAAATCCTCTCTGCTTTGTCTGGCATTTCCTTTTTCCTTTTTTTTTTTTTTTTTGGTAGGGTTTTTAAATTTTACTTTATTATATTTAAATTCAAGTAATTAGCATACTGTGTATTATTAGTTTCAGAGGCAGAGTTCAGTGATTCATCAGTTGCATGTAACACCCAGTGCTCATTACATCAACTGCCCTCCTTAATGCCCATCAACCAGTTACACCAAACCCCTACCTATCTCCTCCCCAGCAACCCTCAGTTTGTTTTCTTAAGAGTCTCTCATGGTTTGTCTCCCTCTCTGATTTCATCTTTATTTTCCCCTCCTTTCTCTTTGATCCTCTGTTTTGTTTCTTAAATTATACTTATGAGTGAAATCATATAATTGTCTTTCTCTGATTAACTTATTTCGCCTAACATAATACCCTTTAGTTCTATCCACATTGTTGCAAATTTTAAGATTTCATTTTTTATGGTTGAGTAATATTCCATTATACATGCATACCACATCGTCCTTATCTGTTCATCTGTTGATGGGAATTTCTATAGATTGGCTTTTGTGGACATTACTACTATAAATATTGGGGTGCAGATGCCTCTTTAGATCACTGTTTGTAGGCATTGGATAAATACCTATTAGTGCAATTGCTGGCTTATAAGGTGTCTCTATTTTCATCTTTTTGAGGAATATCCATATGGTTTTCCAGAGTGGCTGCACCAGCTTGCATTCCCAATAGTGTAGGAGGGTTCCCCTTTCTCCACATCCTGCCAATGTCTGTTGTTTCCTGACTGGTTCATTTTAGCCATTCTGGCTGGTGTGAGGTGGTATCTCACTGTGTTTTTGATTCATATTTCCCTGATGCCTAGTGATGTTGAGCACTTTTTCATGTGTCTGTTGGCCATTTGGATGTCTTCTTTGGAGAAGTGACTATACATGTCTTCTGCCCATTTCTTGATTGTATTGTTTATTCTTTGGTGTTGAGTTTGTTAAGTTTTTTATATAGATTCTAGATACTAGTCCTTTATCTGAAGATGTGCACATATCTTCTCTCATTCGGTAGGTTGTCTTATGGATTTGTCGACTGTTTCCTTTGCTGTGCAACAAAGCTTTTTATCTTGATGAAGTCTCAATAGTTGATGTTTGCTTTTGTTTTCCTTGCCTCCAGAGACATATCTAGCAAGAAGCTGCGGTGGCCGAGGTCAAAGAGGTTGCTGCTTGTGATCTCCTCTAGGATTTTGATGGATTCCTGTCTTACATTTAGATCTTTCATCCATTTTGAGGTTATTTTAGTGTATGGCATAAGAGAATGGTCCAGTTTTGTTCTTCTACATGTAGCTGTCCAGTTTTCCCAACACCATCTGTTGAAGATACCATCTTTATAAAAAAATTTTTTTAAAGATTTATTTATTTGACACAGAGAGATCATGAGAGAGCACAGCAGAGGGAGCAGCAGAAAGAGAGAGAGAAGCCGACTCCCTGCTGAGCAGGGAGCCTGATGTGGGGCTTGATCACAGGACCCTGGGACCATGACCTGAGCTGAAAGCCTACGCTTAACTGACTGAACCACCCAGGTTCCCCAAGACCATCTTTTTTCCATTGGCTATTCTTTTCTGCTTTGTTGAAATTAGTTGAGCATAGAGTTGAGAGTCCATTTTTGGATTCTCTGTTCTTGGCATTTCTTTTTCATTCTTTCTTGGAATTTCCACCTCCTTGCAGTGCCCGTCTGTTCTTTCATGTTGTCTGCTTTTTCCCTTTGAGGTCTTAACATATAAATCATAGTTGTTTTAAATTACTGGTCTCATTATTCCTACAACCCTGTCATACATGAGTCTGTTTCTGATTTTTTTTTTTTTTATGATTTTATTTATTTGTTTGACAGAAATCGCAAGTAGGCAGAGAGGCAGGCAGTGGGGTTGGAGGGGGAAGCATGCTCCCTGCTAAGCAGAAAGCCCGATTCGGAGCCCAGTTCCAGGACCCTGAGATGATGACCTGAGCCAAAGGCAGAGGCTTAACCCACTGAGCCACCCAGGTGCCCCTGGTTCTGGTGTTTGATTTGTGTTTTCAAGCTCTGTTTTTTGTCTTTTAGTATGTCTTATAGTTTTTTGTTGAAAGCTGAATGTGATGTACTGAGTAAAAGGAGCTCTGATAAATAAGCTTTTAGTTGTGAGATGGTGAGGTGTGGGGGAAGTGAAGTGTTTTATAGTCCTATGAGTAAGTCTCAGTCCTTTGGTGAGCCTTTGCTACTGGGGTATGAATTTCAGAAGTGCTTCTCAGGGGTGCCTGGGTGGCTCAGTCAATAAATGTCTGCTTTCAGCTCAGATCATGATCCCAGGGTTCTGGGATCAAGCCCTGAATTGGGGGTCCCTGATCAGCGGGAAGCCTGCTTCTCCCTCTTCCATTCCCTTTGCTTGTGTTCCCTCTCTTGTTCCGTCTCTGTCAAATAAATAACTAAAATCTTTAGGAAAAAAAAAGTTCTTCTCAGTCTTCACTTATACACCTCAAGTTGGATAGATGGTTAGAATGGGCTGGACCTGGGTATGTCCTTACCCCAGTTTGGTTAGGTGCTGATGAAACCCCAAGAGATTAGGCTTTGGTAAAATAGTTTCTCTTAAGGGCAGACCTTGTCAAGAACAGAATGCTCTGTTGTATTTCCAAATGATTCCTTTTCTTCTTCTTCTGCTGGAACCATGAGGGTTTTTTTCCCCGCTGATATTGACTGTGGGAACCTGATCAAGCTCCTGGAGGTAAAATTCATAGAAGTGTGGAGATCTCCCTATGACTTTATACCTCATCTTGATTTCACTGTGTTACAAAAAGGTAGCTCTGTAAAAGTAGTGAACTCTGATTTTTGAGGCAATGTCATCCCAATTAGTTTTATTAAAGTTAAACTGAGCAGAGGTGCATTTGGTTGATATAAGGAAATTTATTATAGCTGTCTGTGGTTTCTGTTTTTGTGTTTTTTTTTTTCTCTTCAGTACTTGGACCATGAGACTGTTTCAGCCACATTCATCGACAGTAGTGGACAGTTTGTTTCCTCCCAGGTGACAGGAGTTAACCGGAATCCTTACTGTGGCTATGAGCATCAGACTCTGTCTAGCCGGGAGCGCATGGAGGAGGACTCCTTGCTGGCTGCCCTACAATGGCAGGTGCCTGATATGGGTCCGGTCCCCTTTCTCAAGAGCACTGACCCTTCTTCCAGCTACTTTGTTATCTTGAACTCTGCAGCCTTCTTCAAGGTGGGAAGCCAGCTAGAAGTGCTGGTTCACGTACAGGATTTTCAAAGAAAGCCCAAGAAATATGGTGGAGATTACCTGCAGGCCAGAATCCACTCGCCTAAGCTGCAGGCAGGGGCTGTGGGCAGAGTGGTAGACTACCAGAATGGGTTTTACAAAGTCTTTTTCACTTTGCTCTGGCCGGGCAAGGTTAAAGTGTCCATATCTCTCGTCCACCCCACTGAAGGGATCAGAGTTCTGCAGCACCTACAGGAAGAGAAACCACACAGGGTCTATTTCAAGAGTCTCTTCCGTTCAGGAAGAATTTCTGAAACCACGGAGTGCAATGTGTGTCTTCCTGGGAATCTGCCCCTGTGTAACTTTACAGATCTCTATACTGGAGAACCCTGGTTCTGCTTCAAACCAAAGAAGCTCCCATGCAGTAGTAGAATTAACCATTTCAAAGGTGGATACCTGAAGGGCCTTCTAACTGCTACAGAGAATGCTTTCTTCCAGAGGTACGTGCTTCTTGTTCTAGGGGCTAATTTAAGGGTCCTTTCCCGCTGTTTTTGTCCCAGTTAGGAGACTTTCTTGTTTTTTTCTTCATATTTCCTTCATATATTTCTCTGAACTTGGCCCAGTTTGGGAGAGGTAGTGAATAAGAAAATAAATATTTGTATTTTGTGAATAGTTTTTATTTATTTTTAATTTATTTAGGTTCTTTTTATTTTTTTTATTTTTTAATTTTTGTGTGTGTGTGTGTTTTAAGTCACAGGTGTGCAACTTTACTTCATTAGTTAAACCCCTTATGATAAATAACAGAATTAAGTCAGAACTAAATATATATATATATACACATGTATATTTACTTCAAAGAAAAATGGAAAAAGGAAAATCTCAAAACCAAAGTGTATTGCCCTGTTGAGAATATCTAATGTACATCAAAGAATTGGAAAATAGGCATTTTTACCAAAGTACAATGTCACTAGGACGTATGGATTGTAATTATAAAACCAAGTTTGGAAACACAAAGGGGCCACTGGCAGGGACACAGAACAACGAGCAGGTGCTGTGGGAGTAATAGGTTCTTTTTATTTTTAAGTAATCTTTGCACCCAATATGGGGCTTGAACCCCTGAGATCAAGTTGCATGCTCCACTGACTCACTGACTAAGCCAGCCAGGTGCCTCCTTGTGAATAGTTTTTAAAAAGTGAAACTAAGAGCTCATTCCAGTTCAAATTAAAGGCTTTTTACCCTTGAGTTTTTGGTTTTTTACCCTCATATCTATGTTTTACTTCAGAACTACATAGCACATCTAGAGCTGTGTAAGAAAAATAACTTATTCACAGAACAAATAAAAAAAATCATCCAAGAACTGGAGGACTTGTAGTCAGGCCAATGGTTTAGCTTCATGTCTAATAAAATAAAAAAAGTTTAATTGGCATATTATCAGTTGTTAAAATCATATAAACATGTATTGATAGAAAAAAGACTATGGGGGCGCCTGGGTGGCTCAGTTGTTAAGTAAACATCTGCCTTTGGCTCAGGTCATGATCCTGGGGTCCTGGGATTGAGCCCCGCATTGGGCTCCCTGCTCCACAGGAAGCCTGCTTCTCCCTCTCCCACTCCCCCTGCTTGTGTTCCCTTTCTCACTGTGTTATCTCTCTATCAAAAAAATAAATAAAATCTTAAAAAAAAAAGAAAATAGACTGAATATGATAACATTGCTGGGTTGATTTAATGATAAGAATGGGAAGCTAGGAGTATCATAGCAAACTCTATTTTTAAAATTAACAGTTGTTGAAATTTTTGTTTTACTGTGTACAAATTTGTTTTTGAACAAAAGTATAAAACTTTTTCAGTATAATGATCAATATATGGAATAGTGTGCAGAATAGAATGTATGTGGGATCAATTCAAATTAAGATGTTTTCTTCAACATCCCATGTAGTTCTGAAGTAAAATAGCATGCCTAAGGAAAAAAAGTTAGAAAGCACATGGCCAAAATGTCTCATTATTTGAACGAATGTAAAAATCTCTTTTATTTTTTACTGAAATACATAATTTAAAAAATATTCCCTGGCAGAGGGGTAGTTTTGTTGAATACATCTAGGCAGCCCTAAAAATTTTTTTGTTTTATGTCCTCTCTTTCCTCAGTGGGGGAGAAGTGCCTCCCATATGGTATATAAGTCTACAGGAGCTTCTACAATAAAGGCCTTTGATTTTTCACTTCTGGAGTCAGCTTTTGGTCTGACCAGTTTTTGTTTTTGTTTTTGTTTTTTAAAGATTTTATTTATTTATTTGAAGAGAGAGATCACAAGTAGGCAGAGAGGCAGGCAGAGAGAGGGAAGCAGGCTTCCCTCTGAGCAGAGCCATCATGACCTGAGTCTTGGAAGGCAGAGGCTTAACCCACTGAGCCACTCAGGTGCCCTGGTCTGACCAGTTTTAAATACGTTATTTGGTGGACCCATGCCATGCTGTTAGAAGGCCAGTAGAGGGAGCACTACTCAATGTATTCCCTGCTACTTCAGTGTAGAGAAAAACTCTGCACACAAGGACTTTAGTTTATCTTGGGTTTGATCTCAGACAAGCTCTTTATCAGTGACGGTCAACAGATTATTTCAGTTCTGTGTACTTTTTGCCAGTGTGTGAACACTGCTGTTACTCCCCTTTTAGAGTTGTGTTGTCAGTCCACTTAGTGGCTTAGCAAAACAGAGGAAGTATAGCTTGTAATTTATTGAAATTCTATGTGGAAAAAGTGGGAAAAAGGCTAGAGAATTTGTAAAATTTGAGAATATTCCTGACAGCAAATCCTACCATTAAAAACCAGAAAACACCTATGAGTCATGAAGGATGAAATAATGTATGTCCCTGTCCTTACTTGCATATCCTGGATAAGTCTAGCTGATGGCTCTTTGTGGGAGAATCACTTTGTAGCAGAATCATTAGGAAATTCTAGTTCCTGGAAGTTTGCTGGGAAAAGTGTTGAGGTGGCATTTTTGGAAACTAAACATTTGATAGTACTGATGCTGATTTTATTTTTTCCTTGTTTTCTCTGTTTTGTACCAGCTAACTGAGGAGAAAAAGCAAAAGATTGAAATTGATCTTTTGAGGTGTCCTTGGGTGTACTGTTTTGAGTGCATGGCCTGAATATGTTAGACTGATAACCATTTTTACCTTTTTCGCTTGGTGGCTTATAACATTGCTTAATTCAGAAAGGATTAAGAAGCTTAGCCTTGGTCTTTGGTTCCCTGAATTACAACTGGACAATTAAAGTGCTCTCATCTTTGGTTCTTCACTCCTAAGGGAAAAAAGTGTTGGTTTTAGAAAGAACAACAGTACTTTACTTAAATGATCTTATTAGTATAACAGAAGGCCTTTTGAAAGAATGAGCTTCTCATGTGAAAAGCTTCCCATATATTTCCAGCATAATTTAATCTTTTTCTTTCTAAGTTTGTGTTTAAAAAAAACCTTTCGAGTCATTAGAAACACTACAGGAATAATAAGAATGAACATCCATCTGTCTGTTACTTAGATTTATAGTTCTTACTATTTTGCTACATTTGCTTGCTCTCTGTAGGTGGTACAGTTGTTACTATTTTGCTACATTTGCTTTCTCTTGCTTTCTGTAGGTGATGTCTTTGTGTAATTCTCCCTACCCCCATCCCCTACCACCCACCATTTGAGAGTAAGTTACAGACATCATGGTGTTGCACCTATCAGTATGAGTCTCCCAGCACATGCACTGTCCAGTATGTAACCAGAGCAGAGTTACCACACTTAGGGCATTTATCACTGATACAATACTGATATCTAATACGTAGTGCTTACTCACGTTTCTCTGGTTGTCCCAGTAATGTCCTTTATGGCTGTCTTTTTTCTTTTATAAAGATGTATCTATTTATTTTAGAGAGAGAGAGTATGAGCATGAAGCAGATGAAGAGGGAAAGAGAATCTTAAGCTGAGTCCACATTTACACGGGGCTCAATCCCACCACCCTGAAATCACAACCTGAGTGAAAACCAAAAGTTGCGTGCTCAAGTGCCTGTCACCCAGGTGCCCCTTTTTATTTTTCAAAAAGATTTACTTATTTATTTTTGTTTTTATTAATCTATGTTTTTCTTTTTTTTCTTTTGGTGGCACAGTGGGTTAAGCGCGTAGGACCCTTGGTTTCTGCTCAGGTCCTTATCTCAGAGCCTTGAGACCAAGCTGGGTGTCATGTTCCATGCTCAGTGTGGTATATGCTTAAGACTTTCCCTCCCTCTCTCTCTACGCACCCCCCCTCAAAGAAATAAATCTTAAAAAGAAAAAAAAAAGATGTATTTTAACTACTCTAATCTATGATCATACATAGTGTGTTTAGTTATCTCTTTAATCTCTTTTAATTTGGAAGAGGTCTCTAGCTTGTTTTTTGCAATATTAAGAATTTGGGTTGGGTTCTGTTGTCAGCAGTCTGTTTGTCCCTCTCCTTCCCTCTCTCTGCTATTCATACTTTCTCTCTTTCTCTCTCTCTCTCAAATAAATAATATATTTTTAAAAAGTTTAAAAAATAATTTTGATGTCATTGTTTTGTAGGTTGTCCCTTAGTTTGGATTTGCTCCTTTATTGTTTCTCCGTGACCAAATTGATATTAAACATTTTTACAAGAAAATTACAAGGGGGAAATTTTCTTCTTTTCTTTACCTCAAGGCTTTCTCATGAAAGTGGTCTATTTATGCTATTTTAGAAGTCATGTCTTCTCTTAAATGCCACTTATTTAAGCTATTTTCTAGTTAGTGCTCGATACAGTTGAGCCTGAAAACCACAGGCATGGGGGGCTCCAATCACCCACAGACTCTGTCCAAAATCTGCTCTAATTTCTGACTCCCTAAAAGCTGAATTACTGATATTTGACTGTTGACTGGAACCCTTACAGTTGATTAACACATATTTCAAATGCTACATATGTTATGTACTTCATTCTTACAGTAAAGTAAGCTAGAGAAAAGAAAATCATACGGAACATTTACAGTACTGTACTGTATTTATTGGAAAAAATCCACGCATAAATGGACCTGCACAGTTCAAACCCGTGTTGTTTAAGGGCCAACTGTACTGCCCTTCTTCTTTGTTTTTTTTTTTTAATTTCTCTCCCCCATTAGAATGTCAGTTCCATGAAAGAGGAGATGCTGTGTGTTTTGTGTACTGTTATATCCCTGACATCTAGGATGGTGCCAGGCACATGGTAGAAGCTTAAGAGTTATTACTCTTTATTTTTTCTAGGTTTATTTATTTATTTGAGGGAGAGGGTAAGAGAGAGAGAAAGCTCATGCAGTAGGAGGGGCAGAGAGAGAGGGAGAGAGCATCTTAAGCAGGCTTTATGCTGAGCAGGGAGCCTGACTTGGGGCTCAGTCTCATGATCCTGAAATCATGACCTGAGCCAAAACCGAGAGTCAGATGCTTAACTGACTGAGCCACCCAGGTGCCCCAAGAATTATTTATTTTATTTTATTAAAAAAATGTTTAATTCCAGGGAGCCTGGGTGGCTCAGTTGATTAGGCGTCTGCTTTTGGCTTAGGTTGTGATCTCAGGGTCCTGGAATGGAGCCCTGCATCAGGCTCCCTGCTCAGCTGGGCACCAGCCTCTCTGTCTCCTTCTGCCAGCTGCTCTCCCTGCTTGTTCTCTCTTTCCTTCTCTGTCAAATAAATAAATAAAATTAAAAAGAATTTAGAAAGTTAGCATCTTATTTTATTTGTTTTTGGTCTAAGCATAGGAGGTAATTATTGTGACCCAGTTTCTGGCATAGTTATAGCAAGTTTTCAGTACTTTCCCCCTGGAGTCGACTCTCCCCCACTTTCTCACACAGCCTTCCATCAAATATTTTCCAAGCCTGGACTCTAGTCCAGGGCCTGTGCTAAGTGCTGAAGACAAAAGGTGAGTGAGACATAGTCTGTGTCTTTGAGGAGTGTATGTTTTGGAAAGAGACACTCCAGAGTCATAGTAATGATGAACAGAGTACTGCAAGCATGTATCTGGGGACAGGTGTCTTCAGTAGGGACTCGTCTCTGCTCTGGGCAAGGCCTAAGGAATCTGACATGTGACTGAATTCTACAAGGATTTGTAGCCTGAAAATTAGATAGTGACATTCTCATCAGTGTGAGCCATTGTCCGAGTCCAAGGAGAATAAGTAATTCGGACCAGAATTTGTCATTTTGGAGCTTATACTGTCACTGGTAAGCAGTGAAAAATTAAAAACCTATTTAATTTTTGTTCAGTTTATATATCTATATAATCTGCTTATTATAAGAGACATAGTTTATGAATTGTGCTGATTAACATTTATAAGGATATTTCATCTTAGGGTTCTGTGAAATCATACCTGTTTTTTTATTTGCAAATGAAGATACACATATACTATAAAATAAATGTTCTTGAATCTAAGCTTGTACTGTTTTTATTCCTTCTAAAGTGGTGTCAATATCAAAATGCCAATCAACTCCAGTGGACCTGATTGGGTGACTGTGATTCCCAGGAGAATAAAAGGTAAAAAGGAAGGAGCATGATGATTTGTTGTTTTTCTTACTAAATGGGTGAGGCTCTGTGGTTTCACTAATGTTATAAAAAACTTTTTTCCTCCATTTAATATGCCATGGACATTAAATTAGTATGCCATGGATATACTTCTGGGCACAATTGAAAATACTGAAAGAGCTTTTTGATTAAAATAAATCAGACCTTATGTGTATAATCTTGGGCTTTGCTATTTATACTTCTGTAAAAGTCATCTTCTTCCTCCTTTCCCCTCTCTGACTGGCTCCTCAGGAGCCTTCAGTGCTATACTGTCCAATATGGTAGCTACTTGGCTATTTAAGTTAATGAAATAACTAAATACAAAAATAAAATAAAGTCTAAAATTTAGTTCTTAAGTCACACATCTTCAGGAGCCATGTGTAGCTAGTGGCTGCCACGTTGAACAGCATTTTATTTTATTTATTTATTTTTCTAATGATTTTATTTATTTGACAGAGACAGTGAGGGAGGGAACAGAAGCAGGGTGAACAGCAGAGGGAGAGGGAGAAGTAGGCTTCCTGTGGAGCAGGGAGCCTGATGTGGGGCTTGATCCCAGGACCCTGGGATCATGACCCGAGTGGAAGGCAGACGCTTAATGACTGAGCCACCCAGGCGCCCCTTGGACAGCATTTTTGATAAAATATATCCATTATTGCAGAAGTTCTGTCAAATATCGGTGCACTAGAGATACAAGAATGTGTATAAAATTGTCATAGGAATTTTTGAAATCAGAAGAATTGGGTTAGTTAATGGCAGTTTTCTCAAAGTGTGATCTCTGCGTTAGCAGCATTGGCATTCATGCGGACTTGCTAGAACTGCAGATTCTCAGGTCTTATCTCAGGCTCCTGAATCAGAAACTCTGAGGCATGGGACCCAGGAATCTGTGTTTTAACCTTCTAGGTGACTTTGATGCATTGGTATGGGATATTAAAAGTAAGACAATGAAATTCTGGAGTAAATGTATATATTCTGTTTTTTTTTGCAGAGTAGATGTAAATAGCTATGGTGACTTTTAGGAAAAGAGGATGAATATTATTAAGGAAGCTTATGCAGTTGGTAGGCAAAGTCCTTTTAGCTGCTGAAAGCATATATGTATAGTCCCCCATACACAGATATTGCAAACACTGATGCCACAGGGTCTGGGTATATAATACATGTGAATCTAGTTATATATGAAACATCATCAGTGGAAATACTTTTATTTGCCTGGGTCTCCCCCTCTGTATTATCCCCCGCAGTCCTGCACTCCTCACACTCGTGTCCAACACCTCAGGAGGCCCCGTCCCACTACCACATCTACCTTTCTCTGCCACAGTCTCAACCTTCTGCCTAGCCTGCCTTGTCCCTGGGTGTCTAATGGGATAGTCAATGAGTGGAGCTTTGGAGGGTTTATGTGCACCTGACAGGTCTTGGTGTTCAGCCAAGAAGTGGTTGTAGGTTTGTGATGTACTGTTCTGTTTAGAGAAAAGACAGATTTAGTAACCAGTGAGACTTTTGATGGATTTTTATTTTTATTTATTTATTTTTGAGATTTTATTTATTTACTAGAGAGAGAGAATGAGTGTGGGAAAGGGCAGAAGGAGAGAAACAAGTAAACTCCTTGTTGAGCAGGGAGCCCTTTGCTGGGCTGGGTCCCAGGCCCCTGAGATCATGACCTGAGCTGAAGTCAATCACTTGATGGATATTTTTTTTCCCCCAGAAGGGAAATCTTTCTTTCTTTTTTTTTTTTTTTTCAAGATTTTATTTATTTGTCAGAGAGAAGGAGAGAGCACAAGCAGGGAGAGTGACATACAAAGGGAGAAGCAGGCTCCCCGCTGAACAGGGAGCCCAGTGTGGGACTTGATCCCAGAACCCTGGGATCATGACCGGAGCTGAAGGCAGATGTTAAACTGATTGAGCCACATAGGCATACCATCCCCTTGATGGATTTTTAAAGGAGGAAAGGAACCATGAATCAATGGGAGCATAATAGCCTGGCTTTGAGAAGACCATCTCAGAGCTGGAACATAATTGGAGAGAAAAGAGAAGGGCAGTTGCTTTACGTAATTAGACCCAGTTTAGGAGAACTTCACTGCAGTTCACACTTGTTACCAGCAGGGTGCACTCAAACACCCTAAGCCATGGGCTCGCATCCTTCCTCCCTCTTTATCTTCCTCCCTTCTTCCTTCCTTCCTCTTTTTTTTAAACACAGTTTTTTTGGTTTTTAGATAATTTTAAACTTACATATGAGTTACAGAAATAGTACAAAGTTCCTGTATAGCCTACACCCAGCTACCCCTTATGCTAACATCTTATATAACCACATAATACTTTCAAAACTAAGATTTTAACATCAGTACAATATTATTAACTACACTGTAGGGTTTGTTTAGATTTCATCAGTTTTTCCATTCATGTCCTTTTTCTGTTCCAGAATCCAGTGCAGGATCCCACATTGCATTTAGTCACCGTGTTAGTCTTCCCTCTATGACATTATCTTAGGTGACTCTTAACTTTGAAGAGCATTGGTCAGATATTCTTTAGAATGTTTCTAGCTTTGGATTTGTCTAATGTTTTCTAATGATTGGAGTGAGACCATGCATTTTTGGAAGAACAGAACAGAAATGATGCTGTGTCCTTTTAGGAAAGTACATGATGTTGATAGGTATTGTTAACGATGTTACCTTTGATCACTAGGTTCACATGGTGTCTGTCAGGGTTCTCTCCTCTTTATATTTATTCTGTATTCTGGAGAGATGCTTTGAGATGGTGGAAGACTGAATAATGGCCCCAAAGATATCCAGATCTTAGTCTTTCAAATTTGTGAATGTTGCTGTATATGGATGGTAAAGGAAACTTTGCATATGTGATTAAGTTAAGGGTCTAGAAATGGGGAGAGATTATCTGGATAATCTAAGTGTCCTCTAAATGCAACCACAAGTGTCCTTTTAAGAGGGAGGCAGAGGGAGATTTCATACAGAAGCAGAAGGCTGTGTGACAACAGAAGCAGGGAGAGACTTGAAGATGCCGAGCTGCTGGCTTAACATGTGGAGAAAGGGGCTATGAGCCAGAGAACACAGCCCTACAAGAGGCAAGGAGACAAATTGCTCCCAAGCTCCTCCCGAGAGAGTGAGACCTTGGTTTTGGTCCAGTTATATGGAATTTGGACTTCTGGCCTCCAAAATGGAAAGAGAATAAATTTGTGTTGTTTTAAGCCACTAAATATGTGGTAACTTGCTATAGTAGCCACAGGAAACTACTCTCCAGATGTCTCTATATTAAAACAGGATGTAAACGTCCTGTTTCTGCTTACACTTTCACCCACTAATTTTTACATTCATTAGTAGATCTTGCCAGCAGCAATTATTTCTGTAGTATGTAATCCTCATTTTTTAATCTCTCATTCCTAAGACAGTTATTAATTGGAATTTTTCCTTAAGAAAGAGTTGTCCCCGGGTGCCTGGGTGGCTCAGTGGGTTAAAGCCTCTGCCTTCAGCTCAGGTCATGGTCCCAGGGTCCTGGGATCGAGCCCCGCATCGGGCTCTCTGCTCAGCGGGGAGCCTGCTTCCTCCTCTCTCTCTGCCTGCCTCTCTGCCTACTTGTGATCTCTGTCTGTCAAATAAATGAATAAAATCTTAAAAAAATTTAAAAAAAAAAAAAAAAAAAAGAAAGAGTTGTCCCCTTTTTCCTGTTTGTTTAATTATGCCATTACAGGCTTATGACTCATGATTATTTATTTCATTCTTTAGGTTATTACTTAATTCAATTGTTATTTGTTTTGTTGCTCTTATTGCTCCGGTTTTGGCAATTGGGAACTTCTTCCATTAGGCTCCTGTGCCCCTTTGACATGCTGTCATTCCCTGCCCTGCCCCCCCTTTCCAGTGTAAGCACTTCCTTATTTTCTGGCCCCACAAGATATTTTAGATCCATCTTGTATTTTCTTTGCCCTGGCCTTGGAAAGGTTTATAGTCTTTCTACTTTTATTATTTTACTTATGAATCCTGTTTTTCGAAGGCTTTTTTCCTTACCAGCTTTTTAAATGTATTAGTTAACTTATTTTCCTACAAGTTAAAATTATTCTAAGAAGCATATTTAGTCTGCTGAATTGTTCAAGATTACCTGTCTACCCCCAAGCATAGGTATAATTCTAGTCAAATTAAGGAACCATAGGGATAAGATCTGGTTTCTGACAGGCTTTCCCAGTGTCAGAATTGCTGTTGACTTTTCATTAACACCTGTACTATGGTCCCTAGACTATCATAGCCTAATAAAAGCCTTCATGGCTTCTAACCTCACCAACTAAACTAGAGCTCATTTTTGGGGGGGAGCTTACTGGGAGTTTGGGATAAAACTAGATCAAATAGAATAAACACTCACATCTTTGTAGCCCTTTGCTATTTTATCTTTTGATGGGTATCTTACAGACAGTAGAATGCATGGATTGTAAATATATAGTACAATGGAAATTTACATTTATATCTGTCTTTGTAGCTGTGGTAGTTCACTTCTAAGATGACTCCCAGGGACCCATGCCCATATATAATTCTTTTTCTCTTGAGTGTGGAAAGGACCTGCAAATATGATGGGATATCACTCCCATGATTTGATTATGTAACAAAGTTGACTTTTAAAAAATACGCTATCCTAGGTAGACCTGACCTAATTGGATAAGCCCTCAACAGGAACCAGGTTCTTCTTGAAGAGACTTGAAGTGTGAGAAGGCTTCCATGTAAGGGAGATACCTTGTTACTGAGTCTAAAGGTGGAGGAGACCATGTGGCCACAAAGGTAGGCAGGTTCTAGGAACTGAAGGGCATTCCCTGATTGATGATCACCAAGGAAACAAGAAACTCAGTCTTATAACCACAAGGAACTGAATTTGGCCAACAATTGTTTTTTTTATTTTTTATTTTTTTAATTAACACATGTATTATTTATTTCAGGGGTACAGGTCTGTGAATCATCAGTCTTACACAATTAAGAGCACTCAGTGTA